CTTTAATACAGTTCCTGTGGGTCGTGACCCACACGTTGAGAACCGCTGCTCTAGCCAAAAGGAGTCCAACAAAGCCAACAAAACGGATAACACCAAGTCCTGGGAAAACCCAGGTGGGACACCTGGGAGATATTCACTGCTGTCGAAGCCCCACTGAACCAAACTCTGCGTCTCGGGCTCAGTTTGGGAGTATGTTTCCTGACGCCAACTTGTATCTGGCCCCCAGTGATAGCGCAGCAGTGAGATGCTTCCTTCAAGTTGGGTCTGTGGCTCCTCCATATATTTGAATTGACCTTTGGGAACTGAGTAGAGTGAACAGTTCGTTGATCTTTATTTGATTTTTTGGTGGGTCCTTTTTCAGTACTGCACAGACTTTGAAGGTGAGCATGCTGAGGCTGGCCGGCCCCACGGACCTCTGAATTACCTTGACCATGTCCCTGGCATCAGTAGCTCTGGCAGGTCCCAAATTTTCTTTTACTTAAAATTTGAAGCTGGTGCCTGGTGTTTCTGGTGTTAAATGGAAGTTAAACTTAGGCAGTGAGTACTGCGCTCTCTTCTGCCCGGGGAGATGCTGTGGGGAGAGGGAAGCTCTCTTTCCTCACGCAGGGGATGTGGGAGACAGAGCATATTTGGAGCAGCCAGCTGCTTTGTGTCCTGATCCCTTTGCCACAGGTGCTTGGGGGAACGTACAGACTTAGTTTTTCTTCTGTAAAATGGGATCATGAAGGATTAAATGTAGTATTTGATGCACACAGAGATCCTAGTCCTTCTCCTTGAAAGGAACCTATTGCCTTCTCAGTCCTTATCCCATCTTTTCAAATTCACCCCCCACTGGGGAACAGACTGACCTCAGGCAGCGCTGGCTGCTGCAGCCTTTCTTTAATAAACCATTTCTAGTCTTACCACGGTCATGGGATACATGTGGTTAGTAGCGTGGCAGGAGCTAAGGAATTCACCAATCCTGATCCCCAGGTTTGTGGGTGTCTCTGGTGAACACTCCAGACCTCACTCGAGGCGGAGCTGCACAGCTCACAGGCTGCGCAACCAGACAAGCCTGCAGCCCTGTGGCACTGGCTTGTGTCCTCATGTAACAAGGAATTCCACCTACCTGAGCCCCTTTTCTCTGTTTACCACGGTAGATTCCTAGGCATATGGCACCCAGGTGGTTAGTAAATTTCTTGGGAAGGATTTAAGAACTTCAGAGCCAGTCAATCTGTGACAATCAGGATGGTAGGAACCATTCTGAGACATACAGTTAAAATTAGTTTTACACATGTTATTTCACAGCTCCTAGTCATAAAAACCAACAGCAGAACAGCAAATCTCCATATAATATTTGTTAGTCTGAAGGCAGGGATGGTGGCGGCTTCATATTTACCCAGGGGGGATTCAAAGCTCATTTTCCTTTTCTCCCTCAGCAACTAAAGTTCTGAGTTTCCTAATCCATTTTCGTATTGATACATAGTATTCAGCCTACTTTGGAGTACATAAAGAGTCTTAATCTATTTTAAATAATACATTATAATTGCAAAACCTATTGCATTCTTGGATCAGTATAGCTAGCGAATGATCCTGTACACATTCCCACAAGTACAACTTGAACCGGCCTACCTTCCATGGGCCAGCCACCACCCTCAGCATTTTTAGGAAGAACGAAACTCAAGCAGGGGTTGGGGGGAACAGGCTAAGCCAACCTCTTCCGTGTGGTTTTCTTGGTTCAAGAGAGGCAGCTGAGTTTAGCTATTATACATATATGTTATATATGGGTCATTACAAAAGTTTTGAGATACACAAATTTAAGAAACATAAAATCTGCATGAACGAAAGCAAATGAAGCCCTCCCAGCAGCCCCTATAAGCTGAGCAAGTTGAAACTTGCACAGGTCAATCAGAAAGGACACTGCGCTGTTGACTGTTTCCTTAGAAGTGAAATCGTGGACCAGAACACAGTCTGTCTTAAAATTTTCATAGTAACATATGTGCAGAGTTACACACGTGTGTTATACAATGTTATTATAATACGTAGTCCATGTTTTCTGTAGAAGCAGCAGGGAGTGAAGATAGACTACGATATGAGAATACCAGTGGCCAATTGCTGCAAAGAATACTCATTTCAATGTACCATTCCACGTGTTTTTCCTGAACATACAAGCATGCACAGTAGTGAAGGGTAGGTACTCTCAGCTCCATCAGGGCCTGGGACACCTCACTGGTTTTGACATCCTACAGTGTTTTTTCTTAAAGGTGAGAACATACCAAAATAGGACTACAAAACTCACGGTACATATTGATGTGTCTTGACATCCACGCGTGTAAGATGCGGTGCTGTGTAGGTGTGCACATTTGGGATAACACCTCTAGTGTGATTTTGAGGCTCAGGCCAATTGCACTTCCTTATCCACAGTCCCCACGATAGGTCCCCTGTGAGATGTTATCTTAGGATCCATATTTTCCATTAGCAATGTAATATAACATGTCTCTCTGTCAGCAAATACCATTATGTATCAGTTTAATCATTTCACAGAAGTCTGTTGCATGCAGGTACCGCGATATGTTTACTAATTCCTCTTCTTGGACATTTTTTTCTAATTTCTGTGATACTGTGTTTCCCCCAAAACAAGACACTGTCTTATATTTATTTTTTCTCAAGAAGACACACTAAGGCTTATTTTCAGGGGAATTCTTATCTTTATTAAGTATAATACAACAATCTACACTTACTCAAATACAGTTAAGTCATGTTCTTCTGGAACCTGACGGAGGAGCTGACCTTGTTGGTGGGGCTGGTGCTAGTGATGCGTGAACTCCTTTCCCCTAGCTGTTCCCATGTGTGCAATAGGATACCTGCCCTGCGGTTACCACACGTGTACCCATGCAAGTGCAAACAGCTCGGAGAAAGGAGCTGTGGCAGATAAAAGGTATTCCAGTCTTCCTTATTGCTCCATGCCAAAATGCATGGAGTGGCTATGCAGCACTAGGTCTTAGTATTGGGGTAGGGCTCATATTTAACAAATGCATAGAAATCCTGCTAGGGCTTATTTTTGGGTAGGTCTTATTTTCAGGGAAACACAGTAGCATAGCATCCTCAGGAATATGCTTATACTTTTTTACACATTTCCTTCCTTAGGATGAATTCTGAGCTATGTCATTGAATAAGGAGACATGTACTCACATGTTTTTCAAGTTTAAAATTTTTCTTACAAAAGTTAGTATTCATGATTGAGAGCAAGTCTTCCCCAAGCCAGGGTTGGAGCTGAGCTCTCTCCCCCCAAACTTCACTGCTTCTCAGGTTAATTGTCATAAAATGCCAAGCGCCATGGACAGGGCTCTGATGGGACTCAGAGGCAGAGGGCTGTGACCAGCTGTGGGCTTGGCACATGGGTGTAGAGGGATGCCCAGGACTGGGGTGAGTACACTGTGAGGACAGACCCCCCAGCAGGGAAGTGCTGTACACAGATGAGCCATGGGACCCTCTGCTGGAACAGAGAGTGTAAACCAGGGAGTGCTTGATGCTGGAGTGCTGGGCTTGAATGAGGTGGAGCGCCTCCTAGTACTGTACAAGGGAGGCTGCCCCATGCTCCCAAATTCTCAGCCCCTCCAAGTCTCTGCAAGGGTCTTTGGGTTAATTGTCCCTCTGCCCTTCCTCTCCCTCCTTCTATAGGTCTCACTCCACTTTGCAGTGAGTTCTAGCAGCACCAAGTGGTTGAGGACTCCAGAAAAGAAAACCCAGTGAAGGAGAAGGGTGTGGTCACACTTTTAACTTTGGTCCTTTTACCAGGTAGCCTCTCTTTCCCAGCCAGCTTGCCAGTTTCTGGCCCACTCCATGCTACCACCCTTTGCTCACTTGAAACCCAAATGTAAAGAATCTGCTCCCCAGCCCCTCATTTCTGTTCAGTGTAAACTCCTTCCTCCATCTGCTTTGGCCCCAAGTTCTCTTTTCAATTCACCTGACATCTAACTTGGCCCTGCAGTTCTGTTCCTCAAAATCCTCTCTATCCACGTCCTCCAGAGCTCTCCCAGACCCAGGGTACTGCGGAAAAAGTCTGCCTTCTGGAGAGCTGTGTTCTCCGCTGCTCTGCCCATCTTTCCTTTTTGCCTGGAAACTCCCTCCCTTTAACCCTCTCTGTCTGTTGAAATCCTCTTCATCTTACTGGGCAATTCCATGGTCTGTCATCTTTAACAGGTCTTCCCAGGTGGGACACAGGGGCTCATGCCTGTGATCGTAGCACTCTGGGAGGCCAAGGCAGGTGGATCCCAAGGGGGTACCAGATCAGCATGTGCAAGAATGAGACCCTGTCTCTACCAAAAATAGAAAACTAGCCCGGCATTGTGGTGGGCACCTCTAGTCCCAGCTACTCTGGAGGCTGAGGCAAGAGGATTGCTTGAGTCCAGGAGTGTGAGGCTACAATGAGTGGTGATGAAGCCATGGAACTCTACCCAGGGCAACAGAGTGAGATTCTGGCTCCAAACAACAACAAAAAAGTCTTCCTAGAAGCATCATAGGATATTTTCATGATTTATACTGTATTTACTATATTCCACTCAGTAGATATTATACCACAGGATTTTAAATTCCTCGAAGGTGAGGACCATAACCTATTCATCTAACTGTTCTTGGTGGGAGAACCACCGTGCCCTGCACCAAGTAGCTGAGACTTGGGTACTGACTGGGAGACGAATGCACAGTGAAGGAAGTTCTGATGAGGCGCAGTCTGTTCCCGAGTGAAGCAGTGTGGCTCCGACATTTCTCTTTAAGGAAGGATTTAGGACAGCACTCTCATCAGAAAAGCCTTGGAGCAGTTCTAAAGGGACAACACTTGTCAAACTACAAGACCAGAGGCTTTTAGAGCTCCAGTTCCTGCTAGGGGCATGAGTTACCTTTCCTTGAGTTTAACACTTTCTGTACTTTTGTGTTGTAGGATGCTTTACATTGATTAAATTACTTCTTGCTGCTTATGAAAGGAAAAGTATTAATACACATGTCACTTCTGTCTCTTGCAGGCAACTATGGTCCTGAGCTCCGCGCACTTCTGGTTAGGCTTATTTCTGGTTCCTACTGCCTGTTTGATTGAAGACGTGGCATGGAGAGCGTAAGTTGAAAACTGAAGTGGTGACCGTAAGTCTGGTTCCTCTGTGCGTGTCATTGTCTTTCATTGCAGAAGCTCTGGAAAAAACAAATCTACTACCTGCCAGCAAAAGGTTTTTTTTTTTTTTTTAATTTTTAAATTTAACTTGTGCTTCATCTTGATATGAAAATATAGGCCAAAAGGAGCCCTGAGAGAGACAGTGTGGAGGTCCCCAGGGCCATTGCCCTGTGCATGATGATCAGGAGGAGCTTTCTGAGTACAGACCCGCTCCATCAGGTTGAAGAAGGATGACTCAAAATTCATTTCTCTGTGTCCTAAACTTGTCCAGTGATCACAAATATGGCCTGGGTTTCAGTCCCCTGCTGACAGGAAAATTGTATATATGTAAATCATATGTGCGTGTGTGAGGCATTTCAGATTACAAGAAGGAAGTAGTTTTCATTTTTCCAAACAATCCCCAGTAGGAATCCTTATCATAAAATTCTTCTAGAGAGTGATTTTATCATAAATCTATGAACTAATCCCCAAAATGAAGTTATAATGTTGGTGAAACAGGAAATAATTCAGTCATACTAATTCATAAATTTTGCTTCTACATTTTAAAATATATCATTTCCAAAATACCTTGTGTGTCATATCAAACAGCTAAGTTCTAAGATAACATGAATTTTAATTTCATCATTTGGGGAGGACACTCCAAATGAGATAATCGTGATTTTTGCCGAGGGTGGGCCCAATTCTTTCTACAAATAGTTGCCAACTTCCCTGAAAAATTCAGACTCCTAGCTTGGCTTTACTTTGGGCAAAGCATAATTGTTATGGGGCCCTAAGTTAGAGAATTGAGAGTTTAATCTGAACTTTCCAGGAAAAGACATCAGATTTCATTTTTATCTCTCCATTAGTCCTGTACTCAATGAGAATTATTCTTGTCTGACAGTTAAAGATGTCTTTTGAAAAAGTCTTCATTTTGGCATTATCTTGACAACTGATTGTACCTAATGCGGAGAGAAAAGAAAAGAACGCTATAGCACATACTTTCTTTCTATTCACCGAGTTTTCAACTGTTAGTAAAAATTAAATTATTCTAATTTTTAAGTGCTTTGATTTACCACTATTTCCATTTTATTTGCTAAAACTATGTTCTGTGAATAGTAGTATAAAAACCCTCAGAAATTAAAAGATTATACCCAGAAAAGCTATTTTCTTAATCTAATAGATGTACCATAACAAAGTATTCTATTATTTGCTCTTTCAGCCAATAGGTCCAATTTTGGCTCAGTATATCCCCTTTTTGGCCTTGTTTGTGTTAGATAAATATAGCCTGGTCTTGCCTATATTAGATGGTTTTTTCAATCTGTAGTGATCGAGAGATAGTAATCTGAGTATAAATTAGTCTGTTTTAACTATGCTATCTTATTGTCATGAAAAGTGTTTTATTGAGACTATACATTTGCAAAAGACGTTAGTGAAAATATCTTCCTGCCGTCTCAAAGAGAATGTTTATAGATTACAAAGTCTCTGTGCCGCCTTGTCTGTTTTCTGGATCTTTTCCAGTGCATTCCAAGTAAAAATTCCCTGTCACCATGAAGCAAATTATCTATTCCCTAAAACTTGACACTTGTTTTTGGTTTCCCCTGGTGCTATAAAATTAGCACCATTTACATTTTAACAAGGATAAATCAAACACTTACAGCTCCACCATATGGAATGAGTAAAAGTCACTTCCTTTCCAAGGAGCTTGCCGGCCAGGTTAGTGCAGGGACCAGGGCTCTGGGAGGTGGTGCTGCTGGTGGGTGCAGGGGAGGCGGGCCCTGTGTGGGGCTCCTCTCAAGCCTGCTGTCTGACACCAGCACCGTGAACCCAATACACAGCTCTTCCTAGGAGCTGACTGTATCTCAGTTCTGGGCTGAGTTGGGAATGTCCCTGCTGAATTCCAGAGTCACTTCCTAAAACACATTTTTGTCTTGTTTTATTTGGAAGAGTGGCAAAGATAGTGTATATTGGCGTCACCTGGAGTATTTGTCCAAATTACATATATGCTCAGTTTGTAATATCTGCTTAATGTCTCAACTACAGTCACCTAGCTCTTTAAAACGAGGATTTTGTGAGTATATTTGGGCATTTCCCTCTGGTGTTTGGGTCCATATTATAACTCAATATTATACTCAGAGACTAAAAAACTTGTTGCCAAGGCAAGTAAATTCAGAGGTGTCTCTGAACAAGAGAAGGTACATTCTGACTTGTTTATCTCTGCTAAGGCCACATAGCTTCACTTGTGATTTTTCTTTCTGAACTACAGCTTTAGAAAATGTGTCTTTTTTTCTTCCCATACATTGAACAAAAATATTAGTCCCGATCGTCCCCAATCACCCATCATTTGGTTTAAGTTGTCAACTATTTACTGAGGTGTGATAATGAATGCAGTGATGTACCTTGACTACCCAGTGAATGGGAATTAAGGAGCAACTTAGAACTTACTCTGTGATGACAGCACATGGCCAGGTGACAGATCTTGCCATAGGATTACTGCAGTTCTTCAGTTTTGCCTTGAGCCTTCTGCTTTGGATGTTGGTGGCTGTTGTTCTCTTTTGAAAGGGCTTTTAACTTCTAGCACAAGGTAGCCCTGCCTTTCCACATCCATTTCTATGAGTGCTCAAGAAAGGGAGTTGCTCTATCTGCCTGAATTTCCCCCCTTTCTCACCCAAGTCTCTTGCTTCCATTTTAGGAGAACAGAGAAGCAGAATGAGGTAATTCAGTCACTTTTTCCATGAAGTCTGTCAACTTTCTGGATGAAGATTCATTATTAGACTATCTTAAAGCAGATTTGGAACACCATAAAATGTCTCCACTATTATCCTGCTAACCTGAATTTTCATGAGGGACCAAACTAACCTATCTTTTATTAAAATAATTGATTGATTACATTTGATACCTGGCTAATGAGCATTTTTATTAGAAGCATGAAGTTTAAATTGCCCAGAACTAGTTTAATATCCTTTAGCTTATACTCTTCCAAAATGCTTACCTATGACAGCATGCTTAGGTAAGCTGCCATGTTCAGATTTTCATTGAGGGGAAATTTGTTAGTATTGCTTTATTAAAATAATATAAAGCTCAAGGCCACGGAATACAGAGGAACCAGTTTTCTTTTATCTATCTGTATCTACTGTACTTTACCATTCATCACACCATACATTCCCCAATTCCAGAATGATTTCATTTCCTTATTATGATCCCAGATAGGCAGTTAAATGGAAATAAGAGGTAATGAGTAATTTCTATATACAATGGGCCTGTATTTTTTTAACTTTTTAATGAAACTAACTCAATATTATACTAAATATATAATAATCTTTTGAAGCACATTGTACTTACTTTTCATCTACATTTAGAACTTAAAATTCTCTTTTTACTCAACTATCCTTGCAAGCAAAAGGAAGAGTCTAGGAAAAAGCTTCAGAAATAAAAAGATGGAAGATTCACTATCCTAAACCAATCCATTTCTTTTAAAAGCTCCTTAGAACCGAATGTCCCTTGAAATGTCAGAGATGACTCTACACACCTGTGTCAGTAGCTAAGCACCACCATCCTTCTGTGGTCATCTGGCCTCTTCATGTGGAGTTCGATGAAGCAAGCTCTGGGCCATAGTGGATAAGCTGTTTACAAATAGCCACTTACTCTGTCAAAGCTACAGTTTGGAACACACCCAACCCTGGCTCACCGTCATACCTAAATGATGTGCCACTGGCTGATGCTCACGGCCTGACTCTGTCACCTATAAATATTATGTTTAATCCATTCACATGTAGACTTTGAAAGGGGCAATTTTAGAGTCATTTTTCTAGTTCAGACCTTATTAGGTAAAGGAGCTTGAGAAAGCAGTTTTAAATTGCTAGCATCCTTTATACCCAAGTGCTACATGCAAAAAGAATAGCTGGCTGACACCCACTGTTGCAGTTGAGTGTTCCCCAAAGGCAACGCAGTTCCCAGGCTAGCTCCCAGGAGGTAGCCTCGTGGAACAGCCTGAACTTCTGAGTAACTCTCAGATACGAATGCAGTTTGATCCACTGAGAACACATACAACGCCCATGAGCATCAAGCTGTTGCCCTCTGAGGCCATTTAGTGAATGAATGAAAAAAGGCAGCTTCAGTGTGGTAGGCCAGAGTCTCTTTTTTCTTGTCTACCTAAAGAGACCAGGCTTTCCTATTCCAGCCTCCTCTTTGGTAAGCCCCTTTCTCCCAGCCCAGAAGATACCAAAGGGGGGTGTTCTAGCCCCTGCTAGTGGGGGCATTGTGGGAAGATGCTGGTGGAGTGAGGTGTTCTAAAAGACTGAAAGAGCACACCCAAATGACCCTTCTGGGACTTGTGTATGCCAGCGGCTCAGGCAGGCTGAGACACACCAGTCAGTTGGTTATCAGTCTAGCCTTACAAGCCCCGGAGATAAGGGCAAAGTTTGAGGCCCCACATGTTCAATAGTATTGAACAGTATACATTTGAATTTTTGACTATCTCCTTGCCCTTAAAAGGTTAGATGTTTTCTTTTCTCATTTACTGTTTAAATTAAAATTCCACAGCCTCTGCTTTGAACCACAGTATTTTTATCAATGCTGGGTCTCAGGACACTGTTTGAAGTAATTAAGGTATTAAGTGTTAAAACCTGTGTGGTTTTCTCTTGTTTACGTTGTGGGAGAGGATGACAGGCCCATATGTGAGCGTCTTGGAGCTAATACTCCATTATAGATTAACTTGAGTGTTAGGAGATGACTTGGTGTTATCTTAACAGACTTTCTTTTCTTGGAGGTGGAGGGTGGGCGACAGTATTCGATTCTGCTGAACCAGCCTCTGTCCTCAGAATGTCCGCGTGACACTGTTTCCGTTTCTGTGCAGATGTGTTTGCTGTTCGTTCTGACTCTGTGTTTGCGGCCTGGTACCCAGCAGCATCCTTACCATGTATTTGTCTAGCAGTTAAACCAACACCTTGCTTTTCATAACAAGGAAACCTGCTGTGGGCTGCTGCTTTATGAGCCTTTTCTCTTTACAATATTTCTTTTGTCTAACCAGTATCTTGTAAAATGCCTTTTCTTCACCTAGGTTGTTTCCGACCAGTAGTTCAATTTTAACCTTGTTCAGTCTCAATTTTAGAAAGACCCTGAGATGGATCACTTATCTGAACATTGGGAGATATTCCTTTTAGTGTCATTGAGAAAAAAGGGTGCAGGTAACTCAAAAGAATTAAGAAGAGCTAAGGTTCAAATTGTGATGGAAAAGCCAGCTTGCTTTTGTAATTTTGTAAGTTGTGTTATGCCCTTGAGGCCTATGCATGTGGACCCTAATGATGAGAAAATCTGTGCTGGGATATTTGTGTTGATTCTAAGTGGAGGGTTTTGGATCTGAATAACTGGGCACCCGCACCAGACCTACAGATGTCTGGTCCTTTGGTGTCAGGGGAGGGGTTCCTGATATTCGTGATCCTGATCTGTGGAGGTGGAGCCCTTGTCATGCACAGATGCCTTGAACAGTCCACACGGCCCTAAGCCTCAGCCAGACAGCATCGGGTGTGGCCCGAGAGGAGAGCAACCAGTCACCGGTCTTTACAGCTGTGTCAAGTTCCTGTGCCATGTTTTTTTGTCTTTCCCTCATGATACAGGGCCAAGCACACCTGCAAAAAGACATTGCTGGAGGAGGTGCAGGAGCTGGAAACCAAGTCCAGAGTCATGGGGAAGGAGATGCTTCGGGACAGTAATGGAAAGAGGTGGGGCCACTCTCTGAGAACGCGTGACAAACAGTCCTCCAGCCTTTCCCGCCCTTGCGTCCTGCATGTCTTTTTCTCATCTCAGCTCTCCACGAGAGCACTCGTGCTCAGTTTTCATTGTTTTGGTTATTCTCAGTGAGATTTAAGTTGCACTTTCTCTGTGGCCACGTGAAATCTGACTTTCTGGGTTGTTGAGCCTGTCCCCAAGTAAGACCTGGGATTATTACTGGATCTGGAGGTGGAAAAACAGCCCATGTACAGAAATGGACACCACAGCAATATTATCTTAAGGCAGGGGAGTCCAGGTTTAGCTTTGTTACCAAAGAGGATTTTGAAACCAGGCTTCTGCATTTCAGGCCCAGTTCCCCCCGCCCCCAAGGATCAGGGTCTGTGGTGAGGGTTTATGTGCCAGATAACCGCATGTTATTAGTTAGTTGTGTGAATCTTGTTAAAGTCCACTTCAGTACGGGAGAGGTGTTTTTAATGAATTATTATTTTCTATTGGGGTTGAGGAAGATCATGGGAACTACTGGAATAAATGATGCCACTTGCTCCAAGTGGGAACCGTGAGTTTTTGTTTCATCACATACGTTTAAATGCCCTCTGTTTGCAGTGCCCTCTGTTAAAATCTGTATATGTGCTACCACAGGAAGTTTCCCTCCCAGGGCCAGAAAAAGCTTGCAGTGTACTAGAAAACCACTGCTATATTATTAGGGATATGAATGTTTAGAAAATTTTGAGTACAACTCTCCTGTTGATGCTAAGAAGGGAATCTGTAAATTCAGATGAAACAAAAGATCTAGAAGTCGAATGCTTCAGCAGTTCTCAACCTGTGGGTCGTGACCCCTTTGGGGGTCAAACGACCCTTTCACAGGGGTTGCCTAATATCAGATATTTACATTATGATTCATAACAGTAGCAAAAATTGCAGTTATAAAGTATCAATGAAAACTGTTTTATGGTTGGGGGTCACCACAACATGAGCAGCTGTATTAAAGGGTCGCAGCATTAGGAAGGTTGAGAACCACTGCTTTAGAGATCCCTACATTGTGCTTTATTCTGTGTTTGTGCCGTCTTTGAAAGCTATGAAGACAAAGCAATTTTATTTTTTTAAAGAAAGAATCCAAGCGCGTGAAGAGACTTTAGAAGTATAATTTCAAATAGATATTTCAGGACTGGGATTAAGTTATGGTTTTTGTGTTTATTGATGTGTTATTTTATCTTTAGCAAGTGAGTTTATTAAGTGTTCATTGTACAGCAGCCAGGCTAGTCACTGTAGAAAAATCATCATAATGATTCAAAAATCACTGTCTTCAGTAAGCTTAAAATTGTGACTTTGTTGGGGCAGGAGGCTGGGTGTGTGTTAGGTAACCCCTACAAGGAGCAGCACATGGCCATGGCGTGTGCAGGGCTATTCTGTCACACAGTTGTGACACAGGGCTTACAACCTACTGATTTTTCAAGGACCTACCACATTCTTTGAGATCTGAAAAAAACTAATTCATAGGCTCTAAAACTTGAGGAATGGGAAACCCCTGCAAATTGAAGTTAATAAATGTTCAAAATGCTATAAAATGAATCTCAGTCTTAAAAACCGCTAAGGATCACAAGTCTAAAAAGTTTTATTGTATTTACAAACAACTTACAGGCTCCCCTATGTCTCAAGGATATACACAGTGATTGATGAGTGAGCTGAAGTGATCTCACAGTAAAATGAGAATTTCCAAGCAAAATTCTAAAATTCTTTTCAACCGTCTTAAAGGAAAATATTATATATCCTATGACATAAGAATGCACTCTGATTTGTTTGTTCTAATGTGAGCAGGGTCTCATTCTGACCTGTGAGCTTCTGGAATTAGCCCTGAACTTGGGATCAGTAAGGATATTCAGAAGAGGCAGAGACCTGAGAGGCCACCTGGCTTGAGTAATCAGGGAGGGCTTCCTGTTGGAAACAGATGAGTTGTAGGGCTCTGAGGATGTGAAGGACTTGACAGGACTGAGTGTCTGGGGGCAAAGAAAGAGGCATTTCCCAAGGCTGATTATGTTTAGGGACCCCACTCTGCTTGGAGGGCCGCAGGCATTTTGTAGAGACCTGCGGCCTACATTTGAATTTTGGCTCAGCCACCTTACTGTGTGACCTTGTGCAGAATATTTCATGTGACAAGATTGCCTCTTGGTCTGTCATAGAAGGTGGCTAATACTTTTTGGAGGGATTAGAGTTTATGAAATAGTGTCTACAAGGGAGCATATTGCTTGACCCGTGAAGGGACTAGGAAAGATCAACTGCTTGTCTACAGTCTGGCTAGAGAGTTGTGACATTGAAAGAAGTCGTGAGCTGTCAGCCTTGAAAGACAGCATCAGGCTGGGGGCAGTGGCTTATGCATGTAATCCTAGCACTCTGGGAGGCCAAGGCAAGGCAGGTAATCACCTGAGCTCAGGAATTCAAGACCAGCCTGAGCAGGATCAAGACCCTGTCTCTACTAAAAATAGAAAACACCACCCGAGCGTTGTGGTGGGCTCCTATATTCCCAGCTGCTGGAGAGGCTGAGGCAAGAGGATCCCTTGAGCCCAGGAGTTTGAGGTTGCTGTGCGCTATGATGTTACACCACTCCACAGTGTAAGACTCTGCTTCAAAAAAAGAAAGAAAAGAAAGACAGCATGAGCCAACCATTGCTTTTCATTGATTTAAAAAAACTTAATTTAAAAAATTCACTTGTTTAAAACTCACTTTTAAATGTTAAAATAGACATCAGAAAATAAAAAAAAAATTAGCGTTTAAATGTACTTTAAAAATCTGTTTTCTGGTCCCTTTGTAAATTTCACTGTAGTTTCTTCTGGTCCCAGGTCCTGCTTCTCTTTGGGATTCCTGCTCAGAAAGTAATCTGGGGACTCTGCTCATCCTTCTCAGAGCAGCAGCCCCCCTTTGTTTTTCTCCCTCCTAGTTGCTCTCAGATTTTCTGGGTGGTCCATCTGCAGACTAGATAATGGTGGTGTGCTGCTCTCTGCAGAGGGACCACCTGTCCTGCTGTCCTGTTAGGCCTCCTGAGAGCTGCCTCATGTTCCTTAATCACCTTTGTTTGCTTCCTTGACACCTGCTTGGATTCCTGTGCGCTCTGTGTCCAGGAGGAGTGGAGGGTAAAGACTTCTTCAGCTGGGTTTTTCCAAAGATGGTGTAGATCATTTCTCTGAGCCCTCCTATTTCTGTGTCTTCTCATACCTTCCCGCTCCTTCTTCCTCACCCCCATCTGATTTTTCCAGCGGTCAGCCTGGCACATAGCAGAAACTTTCAGTTTGTTGACTGATTGACTGAAACACCTAAGTCCAGTGGCAGGGAAGAAGGAAGGGGGCCCTGCAGCCTCAGATGGCTGGAACTCTGGTGCTGGCATGTGGGCTCCCCCTGAAACTGGCCACAGAGAGATGCTGAAGTCACCACAGTCACCGAGCCTCTAGGGAGAGGGCAGTTCATCTCACTGCTTATAAGTGGAGCTAACATAGACTCACAGATGGAGACACCTGAGCAAAGATGCAGAGGCCAGGAGCTGGTACCCCGAGCAGCCCACAGCGCCCCCCTTCCTGTGCCAACCTAGGCTAGGCACCCCAGGGCTCTCAGCATCCCTAACTACAGAGGGTTACTCAGCTCATATTCCTCAGCACGCCTTAGGGCCCCAGAGAGGATATTCTGCCAAGTCGTAAAACCCAGGTCCAAGTTACTGGCAAATATCACAGTACTTTTACTTAGGAATGTAATCATAGAAAAATAGAACAAAAAATCTTTATGCATTAATCTTAAAAAAACCCCTCTTGTGCCAAATGTACAATAATAATTTTGAAATGGTAGCTAGAGATATTCTAAGTTTCCCTCTGTGCCTTTTATTTATTCGATAAAATACTTGCACCTCGCACATTAATGAACTTGTCTAAGCCCCATACTTTTATGCTGTTCTGCTAAATGTTAAATTTTCATTAACCTGCTTTTGCTCTTTCTCATTAGTAAACACTGTCTTCCAAAACTAACCTGTGGCCTTGACGTGTAAGTGAGCCTGATCTCGTGACCTAGGGATGACAAGCTGATAATAAGGAAGAGTGAGATCAGGGAATCAGATATCCAGAAAGTACAGCGAAGTAAGAAAATGCTTAGGTCACTCATCAAAATGTTTGTCTGGATTTAGTCTGCCCTTCGTGAAGGCAGTCTTTCTTGATGCAGTGTCTGTGCACGTTATAGACTCTTGTGAATACCTGGGTTGGTCGGATTACCTTTCTCCAGGCTGTCATGCCCAACATTCCTCTCCAGGGAGAAGCCGGGAAGCGGCTCTTCTGTGTGGACAGGAGTCCGCCACGCACATGTTGTTAGTATGTCTGAACACTGGGAGCTGCATGGAAGAACGTTCCTTTTTTTTTTTTTTTTTCATGTTTTGGTAATACATTTTCCCCTCTTTATTCCTAAAGTGTAAGTCATATGTTTTGTTTCCTTTTACTAGTGGAAGAAAATCTACCTATGTGGACTTAACTTTCCAGAAAGAATATAAACAAATGCCTAAAATGTTGTGTGCACCCACAGACATTTTTTCCCCTTAATTTTTTTTTCTTCCTTGGTGTGAGGCGAATGGGTGTTCTGTAATGTTTTCAGTATTATGGCAAGCAAGAAAAAGGTGAATATACTTGTTGAAAACCCCTAGTTTTGAAGTTCTACTAGTCCTAATAAACCACAAGGCGCCCCTTGTTACGGGTTGTCTTTCTACCTGTTCATCAGGGTTGGTGGGAGCCGGGTGGGGTGGCTGTCTCCAGTTTCAAGGTCAGGCAGTCCAGGTTGCCGCATCTGCCTTCACCAGGAGGGCAGGGGATTCTCTTTCCCTTAAGTGCTTTCCCTCAGTATAGCTTACTGTGTCCCTGGGTGAAGGCAGCGCTGTGCCAGCTTGCCCTTAGTTTTGTGTTCTCGTGAACAGTGATGCATGACTCTATGACCCCAGGGCCCCGGCCTGTGCACACGGGGAAATCTAGAC